ACCGCCTCTGCTTGGTTCATTGGAACACTTATTCTATTTTATAGTATGAAGTGTTTCCCGACTGTAGAATCACAATAAAGCCAAATGAGGTTTAAATTAAATTTGCTGTAGGGCCGGCCCAGTGGCTCACTCGGGAGAGTGCGGTGCTGATGGCACCAAGGCCCCGGGTTCGGATCCCATATAGGGATGGCCGGTTTGCTCACTGGCTGAGCATGGTGCTGACAACACCAAGTCAAGGGTTAAGATCCCCTTACCGGTCATCTTTTAAAAAAAATAATAATAAAAAAAATAATAAAAATACCTGTTTTTTCCTGGCATATACCATTGGCTGGGGAAAAAAAAGAAAGAAAGAAAGAAAGAAAGAAAGAAAATGCCTATTTTAAAACACGATGTTTTGGAGAACAAGTTCTTTTTAAACAGGGCTAATCCTAAAGTTTTGGGCCAAGGACTGAAACTCAGAGAACCCTCGATTGGAGAAGAGAAAGCTGGAAATGTTCAATAGGAAAAAATATATAGAAGATATGCAGTATTTATGCCACTGTTATTTGCTATGAAAGCATCAATTTGAAGCAATTTTTAAAAGATGCATGAGTAGGTACACAAACTGATACCACCTGGAGTAATAACGATAGGTGTAGGGAGAACAAGCAATCTCAAGACACTGATGTTGGGAGTGTAAACAGGTACAATCTTTACAAAACACCATGCATCGAAATTTTACATACCCAAATACTTTTGACTCTGAAATACTACTTCTGGAAATGTATTCTACAACACAATCTCAAATGGGTGAAAATAGGGATTCAGCACTGGTATATCATGACTTGAAACCTAAATGCTCCCTAACAGAAGCTGGAGAGTTTTTGGAGGAAAATGAAGAACACATATGTATTAAAGATGGAGGCACTCTTGCTCTCCGGGATTTAGACTGTGTCAGCAGAAACGCAAATAGACTGGGTCAGCAAGAATTCACAAGGCTTAACCGCAAACTACAGACTTCTTATTGAGTTACCTAGGAGATGGGGACGTATGGGAGAGGCTTACAGCTGGCTAAAACATATATAACACATGCTTGTAGACAATAAAGTTGCTTAGTGCATGAGCTAAGTCCCAGAACTTTGTGTCTGGGTTTGATTGCCCACCTCCCTAGGCAGCAGCCCCTAGCTCAAGGCGTGCCCTGAGCAACTCACCTTGCTGCACTCTCTTGACAAGGATGCATGCGGCCCTGCTCCCTGGGAAACTCCTGGCAGAAGCTACATGTAGTCCTGCCTCCTGAGACCCCCAGGACCAAGAGAAGCATGGAGTTTTTTGGTTTTTTTTTTCCTTTTTGTCTTTTTTCACGCCTGGCAACGGATCGCAACCCTCAGTGTCGCGCCCGCACCGGACCGGGACCAGCAACGGGACCGCAACCCTCGGTGTTGCGCCCACACCTCGCTCAGCCAGTGAGCAGGAAACGGTCTGTATGTGGGATCCGAACCCTCGGCGGGAGCGCCGCTGCGCTCCCAAGTGGCGCACTGTAGCAGTGCGCCACCGGGCCGGCCCTCTCATCTTCATTCTTAAAGGAT